GTATCGTACAAAGTAGATTTTTTGAGCATTTTTCATTAAGAATATTTATTATACTGAAAATTGATCAAAATAAAATAAATAAATAAATTGGGAATTGGATCTGTTGCTTAGCCGTCAAAGACATAGATGGTGCATAGTGGTCTGAGAAGAACTGGCGAAACAAATTCCGACAAGAAAGTTATTGCTGCTTATGCTTATTTTAATGTTTACAGAAAGAACTAACTTAACTTTAGGTTTTGGAGTGTGTGATCTAGGTTGAGGTTTCATTAATTACTGGATTCGACTAATTAAATTACTGAATCCCAAGCCGGTGGTATATTCCAAACTTTATTTCTATTAAAATTAGGATAATTTTTTACTTTAATATTGTATCATGAACCTCGCATATCATTTAAGGAATGAATCGTGATTCTGTGGCATCAAACTTTATATAATGAAAAATATTCGTAATGGAGAAAAGCTTAGTAAGTAATTTTATTTAATGAGTAGTGCTCGTGAAAATGTAACCAGTAAATAAAGGTCTGTAAACCTTTTTGCTTTCATAAAATAGTCTTAACACTTCAGCACGAATAAATTATGCTGCGGTTAAACCTAACCCTCTTGCACAGTTTTTGCTATAAAGTGAAACGAATATTTCTTGTCGCCTTCCAACTGATATTTATTGCGGCGGACGCCGCGCCGACCTGCGGCTCGACTGTCCGTTATAATTTATATTCGTTCTGTTTTATTTACTCTCATTAACTTTTCTTGCGGCTCAAATGGCAATTCGCTTTGGTCATTCCAGAATAGACGCCATTTTTCAAAGGTTCACAGAATATTGTAAAGTATTCATTAAGTATAGTGCACGAGTATAATAAGATAGACATAGAACTTTACTCATTTTTTTTAACTCGTCGAAAAGTTCATATAGATATGAAATTAAAATTAAAACAAAATCTAGATATTGTAAACTTTATACACCAAAATAAAAGTTTTTTAAAAACTAACTGCTGAAAATCGTCCGCAAATTAGAAAATATTATCAACTGAAATGATGATATAGCCGTTTGCACACAAACATATAAGTTAAAATACTGGAACAAGAAAAACGTTTTCAAAAGAGATGTATTATAATAGAAACTTTATGTAAGAAGACCATTTAACTAAAATAATTAACTTTTAACTAGTATTGTACATAAATAATATGCACATAAACTATTATTACAAATAAAAAACCTAAAGATATTTGTAAGGAGTCAAAACGTGACTTTATAATTTTTTTTATTGAAAAGACATCTCAAACCCTTAATGTATATTTAATAATTTTTAAGTTTCTTAATGTGATTATACCCCATTTATAAAAAGAATATATTAATAAATATGTGATTAATTTTGTAGCCGAGATTACTATGCGGTACTCCTACAATTGTTGTAATAGTTGGTGAGCAAGTAATAAAAAATCATTTTTAAAATGTCATCCTGGACTTTAAACCTCCATAACAAATCAATAGAAATTAAAATATCTATCTGGGTATTAACAATATGGCGCTACGGGCTACGGATGCTATTACATTTACAATTTGCTACGCCGTAGAACCCGTAGCAATGTGTAGCACATCGCATGTTTTATAAACTCGCAGAAATATATTTCAAAACCACATCAATAATATGCTGATCACTCAATATAATAATTTCTATTATTTTCAGATGAGCAACTCAATAGCACATGATATGGGTGAGATGGGTGGACGGATCGTTTAATCCTATTAATATTATATATGTGAAAATTTCTTTGTTTGAATGTTTGTCGGTCAATCACGCCGAAACTAATGAACGGATTTTGATGAAATTTAGTATACAGATAGGATATTAGCTGACTTAGATAATAGGATTTTTTATCCCACTACACACTTCCCTAGGGACCACGCGGGCGAAGCCGCTGGCGAAAGCTAGTAAATAAATAAATGAGACAACCTTTTCGGACGTTGCTTATTTAATTACTACTTTTATAGAATTATTACATAGGTATAATGCTTAGAGGGCAATATGATGCTTACCACTACCACTGGAACTTGTGTCCCCTACTAATATTGTCACTCCAGTCCAAAACTCTCAAAGTAAAATCTCCTTTAGTGTTGGCACATAGCTGACGAAAGAATGCATCGCGTATCTTCTTAACGTATCATCCACCGCCAAATATTAAAGCTAACAAAATATATAACACTAGCACTAGCTTATACATAAACATCAATATTGCAAAAGGAAAGAAAATAAAAAAAATCACAACCCCGCAATATAGATGCCCCCAGCAGCGTTACATAAAAGGGACTGATCAAATGTATTATCACCCTTATTTCTTTTGTAGAAACATTGTTACACCATTACAATGTGAATATAGCTGTAATATAACTTCTCGTATTGTTATGATGCTTTCTTACCTCAGCTTTTACATACCATCACATTAAATGTATTCTTTGTTTGCATAAATGTAAAAAGTATGGTTAAAATTCGTATTGAATAATTAGATTTATAGCTTGCCTGGAAGAAATCGCTGTTAAGCGATAAGGCCGCCTATTGTGCAAATGTTTTATTGTTTGTAAGTTACTCTTTATTTATTTCTGTTGTGTGTTGTACAATAAAGTGTTTTTATCTTATCTTAGATTTCTTTTTATTAAGAACCAGCTGTTTTCCTACCACTTCGCCCGTGTAAATATAGCCCCATGTCACCCACGTATGTAGCTTCTCGTTGGTATTTTCATGATCAGATCAGTATTTCTGAAGATAGCCTACAAACAAACAAACAAAGTTCGAAACTTTACCTCTTTCTGATATCATTATAGATTGTTATGTTTTGACCATTTTTTATTCATTTTTTCATTAAAAACTCATACTTAAGTAAGCAATTTTAGGGTAGACCCTAAGTCATTCGTTGGCTAAATTGCTACTACTTACCTACCAATAATTCTCAACACAAAATTTGAGATTCTCCTCAATAAAACTATTATTTTATTGAAATAAATTACCTCGACGAATCATTGTGAGTTATTTATCTTCCGCCTATTAGCGTTAGGGCACGAACAAAAAGTTATGCGATCAAAGATAGAAGCGACGTAATGCCATTCTCAAGAAGTTTTCTTTGTTAAAGAAAACCACAATAGGAAAACGATAAAAGAAAAACATATGAAAACTTCTACTAAAGTATCATTATAAGACTATCATTTTTAATTAGTGTACATAGGTACTGTAACGTCCGTGCATATTACTATGGGTAGGTTTACTCTTCGGACAATTTATGGTCAATGCTGGCCGTTAATATTTTGCATTATTATTTTTTCCAATTTCGAATTCGCATGTTCGTGTTTTGCTGGTTGAAAGAAAGGAATTTATAGGAAAAACCGACTTGATAGTTTGGACTCTCTTTATTCACACACGTCTTTTTTAAAACAATAAATATCTAAAAATTAAGTCATCCGTCTGTCACTCATGCCGGCCAGCTATAAAAAGTGGCCTGCATCAAAAGAGTCCGTAACACTGGTTGATAATATTTGTTTCTGATCGAGATCGTCATAAAGTCAGTATCGTAGAATTTAATAATTATATATAAAACAATATAATACAGTTAACCATCTGAGTATATAGATTGATTTTATTTGACTATCTCCGCGCAGTTTGCTAGCGCAATGCACCGAATTGTAAATGAGATGGCACACTAGACTTTCCGAGAATTGCATATTCATAGACTTCAAATATGCCAAACGGCACAATCAAAGCGAAACGCAATAAATTATTGGGTAGTATTGATAAGAGCGAAAATTGTATTTATGTCAATAGGTATAAACATTTAATTAACTTCTCATTGATAATGAAATGAAATGAAAATATCTTTATGCGAGTAGGCTATTACAAGCACTTTTGAATCGTCCAAATATTTGTTTTTCCCCTACCACATATGATAATAATCATATTATAATCAAAATTTCTCAATTTGATTTTAATCCATAATGAGTCATTCTATAAGTCCAAAACCGATTAAAAAAATTCGCCATTCTGTGGTGTATTGCTACTGCTACAATATAGATAAGTAATACAATATTTCTAGTTCACTTAATTTCGCCATTGGTTTGATGTATAAACCAAAATAAATTTTACCTAGTTTTTAGGTATAAATAGCTGTTTTCCCTAAAAAAGCATATTTTCAATATACTTATGACGTAGCCGGTAGTCGATTTGGGAAGCTGGAAGATTAAAAGAAACCACGGGTAACGTCATACAACATTTGCTGATAAAAATATCTTTTAAATTAGAATAATTTGAATTTTAACCAGTCTGTTTCTTAGACGGTACTCTAGTGGTGGGATCAGATCTTGATTTTATTTGCAAATAATATAAATCAACTAAATTCTAAGATACTGACTTTATGCCGATTATGTTTTCATTATAATTCAATAGTTATCATGTCTTGCATTGATTACATTAAATACATTTTTTTAAAGTATAGGGGCTTCTTTGCGCAGTTAGATGCCTTCATTAGACCTTCGTATGTGAAAGTAAGTAAGTAATTTTATTGACCATCACATTATACACCCATGCATTACATGAGAATTATAAACAAAAAATTAAAAGTGATACAGAATACAGCAGACGGTAACATACATATTTCAACCTAACATATATATGTGATGGGGTCAATCAGGACCCTACCCCAGATTGTGCTACTACAGTGAGAATAAACCCATGCAATAGCGCTGGTATTCTGGCAGCGCCTGCAGGTAATAACATTTGATATAATTTTTAGTTTTATAGTATTTAAGTAAGAACTTTTGGAAAATAATAAAAAACAAATAGTATCACAACTTAGATGATTTTATTAAATATAACAGAGTCCATAATAATTATAATTTATAATTCACTTATTCTATTTGTTGGACAACCATAACAGTGACTTTGGCCTACGGCTACAACCAGTACTGTTAATGTTCATCGATTATGCTAACAGATATGATAAAAACTATGTTTACTATTTTAGAACCATAGACCGTCTTCTGCTTCTTCCTCGCTATCCGTAACTTGCAAATCGTCTTGTATTGCGGGATCCGGCTGTACGGAAAAACAATTTAAAATATTAATAGACAATCCAATTGTCATCATATATCAATACCTACTTTAAATAAATGATATAATTATTATATTTGATCTATTTTGCATTCATAATGCTATACTGAAAAATATTCTTAATGAAAATTAATGCTTAAAAATCCACTTTGTCCCTGGCACTCTGAGATGGGACTCGAAAAAAGTGAAAGAGACAAAGAGGATTTTTTTAGAATAATTAATATAATATTAGATATCATACAAATTAATATTTATGTATAAGTAAAAAAAAAAAAAATTAAAATCTCTATTGTTACAAAGATATGCACAATTTGAAACACAAAAACGCATGATTGTCTTATATTGAAAACGGAGTTTTTTTTATCTATGTATCACGTGACCTGAAACACGACCGCCATGGAGTGACGTCATATCGTGACAAAACAATGACTTGAATATTACTAACCTGCCAGTTCTCTGGAGGTTCTTCCTTGAACTGCGGTGGTTCTAAAGAAGTACCCTCCATCATCGACGGGCCCATGTGCATATCTGGCTCTAAAGGTTCCTCCTAAATAACATAGACACCATTTTGTTATTTTACAAGTAACTGACGATCATCGGTGCTTGCATATTTTGCTGTTCCCTGGATAAAATTTTTAAAACCTGCATTTTTTATTTTAAGCTATGAATACAATTACAACAATAACGTGTAATTATTATTATTGAAGTACCAATTAATAGAAATACACATTGTACTTTAAATATTGTGTTGGATCATAAATACACCTTTAATATGGGTTTTAAAATAACAAGAGGCGAACGAGAAAGACATAACTTTGATTCTTCTAGCAGATAAGACATACAGAATAAGTCAAAAAAGAGAATCGGAATTAAAACGTTTAATACCATTATTAATGCCCGTTTTCATTAACTTAGGAGTTTCCCAAATCTGCCACTAAAAAAAATTAGGACACGGTCGCGCCTAGTGCTGAGCATTTGCGTGATGTGAGTTGTGACCGATACATTTACTCTTTGGCCATAATGGATATGGATATCAAGGTATAAAATCAATTAAGTAAGTTGGAATCAAGGAGTTCATATATGTATTAGATGATGTTGTGATAATATATGAGGTTGTTGATTGTTTTTACTTTTTATATAGGGACAATGACGAGTTGGGCGCTCATGTCAATACAAGCCTACGTATATTTAATCATGTTTATTCACCTCAAAATATATATTTTTGTTATTGTCTCTTTACGTGTAAATGCCATTAACGTGACATTAGCGTAAATAGGCCATACATAAAAAAAGAAGAACTTATAAATTCAAAATCATAGACAAATCTTAGCAAGTGCCAAGTAAGGCATTACCTAACGACACAGGTTGCAACCAATAACTAATGGTTAAGACATGTCTCGGTATTGCAAATGTTACATTCGATAAGTACTTGTGCTAACCCTTATTTATATAACAATTGATAAAATTTTATGTTTAAAATTTAGGAAGCACTTGATCAAATTATAATATAATACTGCCAAAAGTTTGCTTAGGATTGTAGATTCCGTTATACGCAGTCAAAGTTATAGACAAACACCCAGTTTCGTAATTATTTTAAAATTAACAAAATGTTGTTACCTTTACGACAGTTGGATACGTATAGTCTGTAGTATGCTGATCTAGATCTACGAGATCGTCCGATGGCGGCGGCGGTTCGTCAGGCACTTCCCTTTTTATCAAGAACTCCGATGTGTCGAAACTTGTTTCACCCATTGGCATTATGTCGTCATCTAGAAGAAACCATGAGATATAAAAACATAGTTTTCTTTCAATGAGAATAGTGTCGAAGTATTAATGTTTTATTCGATAACTGTTTTCTCGAGAATTTTTAAATTATTTGGTGCTTGAATATCATCTTCAAATATGTGTTTTCAAAAAATGTTTAAATCAGTAACGATGCTTATTTCTAAAGAACAAGTAAGTAAATAAGCCTTATGTACCCCAAACTATTATACATTAAAACTGAATAAAAAAAGCCGCGTAACTGCAGCTGGGAAAAATGTGATGTTATTTGTTGATTTTTATACAAATACACACGTAAATAAAACATTGTAATAAAATTTCTAATCTGTTTAACATTAAGTAAACCATTACACTTATTTTATACTTTAAATTTTTAACGCGTTTTTTTTTACTAGATAGATTTATTATCAAATTACCACAAATAACATCATGTGCTCTGATTAATGTTCCGTTTGACGTGAAATATCGAAAAATTATATTTTTATTTATGTAAATCATTATTACTTAACAAAAATATTAGACAGATGACGACGAAATAATTATAAATTAACAAAAAATCTATAAATTTTTCAATTGTATCAATTTTTTTATCAACCATATTTTTTGTCATGATTGATCATTTTGGATTCCCTGTTAGACGTAACTAATTCAATCTAAATAAACAACTTTTGTAGATAGTTTTGGAGTCTCAAACTTCCGAACGTATACAGACTACTGATTATACACAAGTTTACTTAATATTCACTACAACTGTACATACCTGGCTTAACAGATAGTTGTACCAAGCCTTCCACGGCGTCCTTTTGTTCCACTTCTTCTAATTCAGAACTGCCGCTATCTGAATATTGCAGATCTATGCAGAATGTTTTATTATTGTTATTGATTGAATATACATTAGTTTTATACAAAGTAATAATTAAAAAATATATACCTTCTTCCAAACTGTTCTGGTCCTTTCTTGGCCTTCCGCGTTTTCGCGGCGTAGCACCTACAAAATAATGACCGAGTTAAGATGAAATTAAGTAAACCTCTAATTTTATTATAATTGCATGAAAATGATTGACAAGTATTTAATAGAATAAGGCTTTATTTTGCCGTCCTTTTGATATCACTGTAAGACCTAACAGCTCGTGAAGCTTTCCCACGGGGCTTTCGTGTAAAAGTGAAACACGTATGACACGCCGCTCGCATTGCCCTTTTAATGTTTTCCTAATCCGTTCAGTTCAAAACGTCCAATTCCTAAAATTCTCCAATGGTTTCCAAACGTCAAATAATTCACGAGCACGAGGATCTGGACATTTCTGAAAATGAATTCAAAAATGTCCAGATCCCAAATGTCCAATTCCCGAAATTTTGGGGATATGACATTTCAGGAATTGGATATTTTGTGAATTGGACATTTCAGGGTATGGACATTTTGGAAAATTTTACATTCTTGAAAGAATTTCGATTCGAAGTGTAACCCATGTATCTATACTATCAGGCTCCGTAATCACCACCAGCCCTTTTACGTCCCCACTGCAGGGGCTCAGGCCTTCTTTATGGATGGTTAAGGAGGATGGGCCATGACACTCCACGGTGGCCCAATGCGGATTGGAGGGTATTAACGACTGCAAATGCAGCCGGGACCAACGGCTTAACGTGCCTTCCGAAGCACGGAGTAGCTTGAGATAATAATTTTTTGGTCACCCATCCCGTGACCGACCCTTACGAAAATTGCTCAACGACTACGATCGCGGGCCGCGGCGCTTATCCACTACGCCACCGAGCTACTCAGAGGCTCCGTAAATATAAACAAAACTAAATATACTTTACCATCAGCAGAAGTCGCAGAGGTGGATGCTTTATGTTTCCTCGGCCTCCCACGGCCTCGTTTTTCATCAGAAGTCGTAGGGATCGGCTCATCAACTTCCAAGTCTGAATGCTCAGCGTCTTCCAGCATCTTCTGTTGCACGCGTGCAATATTCGCTTCCAATTGACCTACATTCTCGCCGAACTGAGTAATAAAACATACGTTACTATAAATATCATTGTTGTTTTTTATTTAATTATTATCGTTTATTATCGTTCAAAAAACATCATAACTACCAATTCTATTAATAAAATATTTATGAATTTTATTTTAATACCTGCAAAACCATAGTTATTTTATAACTACATTTTTTGTAAAAAAAAAAACTTAAATACACATCAAGAGATTTCATTTATTTATTAAAAGTTGCTTCTTTTGGATATTATGAATGAATTAATTATTGAATTCCTTCATTGAACACTTTATTGTGCATGAGAAATAAAACATAACAATTAGCTATAGAAGTATTAACAGTGCAATCGGCGGCCTTATCGCCGAAGAGCACTATCTTCCAAGAAACCGAAAGTTAGATTGGACTGTTACATAAGATGGATATTATTTACTTTCAATAGGGAAAAATGACCGACCGTCAAAATATTTAACATATATTTTTTGCCTAAGCGATAGATTACGGCAACATTAAATTGAAATGGCACATGACGTCACGCCTATGTAAATTTTTTACTCCTCACTGATACCTATTATCTAAGCAATTATTTGTTAACTGAAAGCAAGAAAAAATACGTATGTAATATTTACCGTTATATGCCTGACGAACTAAATAGAATTTCTTTTTTTTGTATCATACTTCTATGTCAAGACTCATAAAATGACAATGATTGAAAGAATCTAATCTTAAATTTGACAAGAAAATAATCCATTAATATTATTATAATAATGTTAACGTAAGGTGTAAGTTAATTCATAATGAGATATTTTCTGATTACTTGCTTATTTACCTGTTCAAGTGCGTCCTGGGTGACCTTCAGAATAGCTTCAGCTTGTCTCGTGAATTGAGAGTTGATACCGTTATAAGCTCGACAGTTGTCTACCAGTAGCTGAATATCTCGTAAGAATTCATCGCGACTATGATATTTATGAGCTGGAAATAAACTTGTTTTAAATAAACCAATCAAAAGGTGGGATGCCGAAAATGAATGTAAAAATGAACGCTAAGAGTGAACGAAAGGTGAGTGACAGTATAGACGCACAACTAAACAGACGTCAGACGAAAGTAAAGAAAATCTGATAAGAAAAAACTATGATTTATGAGTGCTTATTTGTTTGAAACACCAATTTCAATCCGGGATGTCTTACAGCAGCAAGTTATAATTAGAAACATCTGATCTATTACATCGACTAGCATCAACCTTTTGTTCTTTTGCGGCCATTTTAGAAGTTACATAAAAAAAACTAACACGAATTTTGACCTGAAGATATCATGAAATAATAATAGACTCTCCCTCATATTAAAAAATATCACACCTATAGAAGCGTATGTAAAAAGATTTAGTAGTTATTATTAAAAAATTATAGATAACAATACATACCTAATATTTTTTTATTCATAGTCTCCATGTCTATAGGTTTTTTGATGACACTGTAATAATCTTTCACTTGTTTCTTATTAACTGGCTTCAGGAATGGCCACGCTTCTGGCATCACCTTCAGCTTCGTAGTCAACAAGTTATCTAATAAATAAGAGAGCGCCACCTGCGAAACCGAAACTAAGATATTATTTCCTAAGACTTTATTGCCATACAATGTTGGAATGAATCAAGGAAGTTGTCGACCTTAATCTTCGGAAATACCGATTTGATCATGAAAATCGAAAGGATTTTCATTTCCCGTAGGTGAAACTAAATCATACACAAGTCATTCCTTAGGGGTGGATGGGCCGTATTGGGGAAATTGGAGGGGAAAATGGAAATGCAGCTAAGCTTTGTGCCTTCCGAAGCACGAAGTAGCTCGCTATAATAATTTTTTGGTCACCCATCCCGTGATCGACCCTTACGAAAATTGCTTAACAACAACGATTGCGAGCCGCGGCGCTTATCCACTAGGCCATCGAGCTACTCACTCATACGTAGTATATAATATGTGCAAGCGAAGTCGCTGGATAGCTCGTTAACACTAATATTGTAGATATTTCAAAAATATCTACTGGTGCCTGGATGTTCATCTATTTAAAATGCAATTAGAAATTAAACAGAAGCATATTAAGAGCAATATCGATAAATATTCGACCTGGTCATTGTCGTCAAGCAGCGGGTTGATTTGTTTCTCGAGTTTTATGATTTGCTCTTCTTTTTCGGCGAGTTTCTCGACACACCTCTGCAACATCCTTTGCGCTGCCACTGTCAGACTGCTTGTTTGGCCTATTTCGTATTATATACAGTAAATATTTCAATATTAAATAAAAGTATTGATATTTGTCGTAGGAATTTGCATTTTAGTATAGTACTTTCGTATCAATGAAAGTAAATACAATATGGCGTCCACTGCGCAAGTATAATTGGGGTAAAAATTAAAAACATAACACACTTATTCTTTAATTAATATTATTAACCCAAATTAAAAAAAAGAACTTTATTAAGACAAGGGGCATACTACCTATTTTGAACGTCATTTATCGATTAACATTTACATAAATAACAAATCACTACAATGGTAATAATAGGAGAAAATATAAGAACTATTCGTTATACTAGATACCTATCTATCTATGTTACCTAACAAATGTATTATTTTTTATGTTATTTAATGGAATATTACCCTTGAGTGTGATTTAAGAGACCAATGCCAAAAAAATTCATAACATCGTCAAAATTCAGTACCGTAACAAATCACTTTATATCATGAGTGTACCTATCAATGTAAAAAATGCATTTGCAAATGGCGGGAAGTATAGTATGGAAATATCAAGCGATAACACTAGATTTACTTTCGTGCCGGGCACTGTACGAAAACGTATACGTTAAAGTCAAATCATTAAACGTCAAAGTGAAATCAACCTAATGATAGGCTACGTACAATAAATCGTTTAGACATTAATTTTTTAAATATTATCGCTTTTAATTCGAATACAAACAACTATTACCATTGTACAGCGTTGAATTTTCCACTATCTGATTGACGTCCGCTAGGAAATCTTCTCTGCTTTGGTAATGTTTCTGCCGCAGATTCTCCCGTATTGTTTGCAAGTCCATCGGCCTTGAAACGATGCGGTAGTAATCTGCTACCATCTATGCAAATGAAATATCATACAAACAGTTAATATGCTAAAATAATGAAAAATTTATTCGAAGACACGTCATCTTCCATTGTAATGATTAACTTTAACAATAACTACAACATAATAAAACAGCAAATACAACTCAGTCTCCGAAGCCAAGTGGTTCGCTGGTTCGGTTCCATTCTCATCAGGTCAATGTACTTTTCTATGTTCTCAGGTGTGGGTTTGTAGTGCCTTCGTTGTCTCAGATACTTTAGCTTCTCATATATGAAATACAAGCAACGTACAATGATGTTGTTCAATACACATTTTCTTAAATTTCGTGGTAACCTGATATATTGTTATGTGCATGTTACTCTCAAAGACAGAAAAAGAGGAAAAATAGCTCACAACGCGTTGTGCTCATAGTAAAAAAAGCGACAGCGCGAAATTCATAATCACGTGGCATGTGGCAATCAGAGAAAGACCACATAGCGAAATTTGTGTTGTAGCTGATATGCTATAAGACCTAAACGCATTGTGGCAATGAAGAAAATGCATAAATCATTACGTTTTCAATAATTTATCACATAATGAGGATTTTATTGTTTTTTTTTTAATAAAGTAATCCCATTAAATAAAAAATGTCTTTTTATTTTGATGTTACGATTTCTTATATTACATTTAATTATTAACGACAAATACGTTAAGCAGTGATTTCAATATTTTTGCATCAGACAGGGCAAGATTAAATTTTATTTGGCATAAAAAAATATTATAAGCACATCTACCATAACATTTGAGGCTTCACATTCATTTGAGGATTCACATCGCAAAGCACTATGCGTCTTAATTACGAGTAAATATGGTTCCTAACGCTTCATGGCTTTTGCCACAACGCGTTGAGGTTGAATATCATGTCAGCTACAACGCGCTTTCATTAGCCATAAATCGAATTTCGCGTTATAGCCGTTTTACTAAGACCACAATGCGTTGTGAGAAATTTTTTCGCTCAATAAACGGTTAGGGTCTTTGAACTTAACATGTACATTAAAATGCAAATTTTTAAATATCCTTTTAAATAAAACCTATAAAGATTTTTACCTTAGGATTGACGGGGAACAGGAACGGTTGCACATCAGGCAGATGCCTCATATGATTGAGTACGTCTTCCAAAAGGGAGGACAATGTAACCAGCGGATCGGTCCGTCGTCTCTCCGCTGGTCGCTTCACTAAATAATCGCAGGATTCGGAAGCGGTGCCGCGCCTCTTGTTACGGCCAGCGGCCCTGAATTCACCACGTCTACCGCGACGTTTCAGATCTTCGGCTGATTGCTATTGAAGACAAATATATACATTAGTTTTCCGGCAGCGGCTTCAACTGCGCGTTTTTTTTATTTTACAAATCAAAAATTTGGAAAAAGTAGACGAGACTACTACCTAAGACGAGATTTGTGAAATTCAATCCCAGTATGTTTTGGGGTTGATAGTATGTATGAAACAGATACACAAATAACAAAAACATTACAAAGATTGCCGAGACGCTCATACTTTTTCGCTACCATAACACTTTTTGACGTCACTTAGTGGCTTGAATATGTATGGAGTGTTTTCGGTTGACTAACAGCAGTTCCACAAACAGCACCGTATATCCGAAACTATTAATCGCAAAAATGCTGTTACTTTTACATTATTTCCAGATATTAATGGACTATTTATATATAAAATTTTAAAAAGAAATGTCAACTAGCCTATTGTATACGAAATTGCTTAATACATTTAAATAATCCACGGAAACCATTACATTAATTACGTAAGAAAGAATACGTTATAGGTACTTCATTCCGATATACATATTTTCTAATAGATTCAGATACAGAATATTTGCTATATTTCCCCTAATCTATTTCAAACCAAAGGGCATTATTTTATTTTAATATTTGAAGTAATCCAGTTTCTTTATTATCGTTAAGATAACTGCATTGCATTGCAATATGGGCCGTCTTGTCAGATAATATTTGTTCAAGCCCAGTAACACATACACATTTAGCTTCAGTTATTATTAAAATAAGTCATATTAAATGTAATATACTTATGTAGTATCCCGATATCTATACTAATAAAAAAGAAATATTAAATCGCTTGCTTACACTGTAGAAACTAATGGACCGATTATTTTTAAATTCTTTTTAAATTTAGGTATGGGTGAGAGAATTTTAAAAATCGTACGCTACATCATACGCGTGTGACATTTGCAACGCAGGTGACAAAAGTCAGTTCTCATATGATGTAAATTTAAGAGTTTAACAACGTTAAGTACTAGGCAAACATAAGTGATATAGAGTTCTCTCCTCACCTTAATAAATTTAGAAGGTAGGGTCAATTTAGTTCCATCTACGTATCCACCGAGGTCGTCTTCATCAGCTTCTGGTGGTACTTCTACGTCGAGCTCTTGAGGCGATGGAGGTCCACCGCCCATAGCACCAGTGTATAGAGGACAAGCCTTATTGGTACGCATATGGCCTACATTACCACAAGCACCGCACTAAAATAAAAATGAAATACAAAAAATCTTTCAATGGTCAGAATAAAACCGGCCCATTGCAAGTCGGATATCCGCGCGATTGGTTCCATACTTTTTTACCGGGGTGAAAACACTACCATGCGCTCATATTTTAGCAATGAGTCATTTTTCTTTTATAATATTTTTAAAGATATAGAACTGAATCAGTTATAAAAAAAAAAGTTTTTAACGGCAACTATATGTTATTCCCTCCTCCTCCAGATTCAGTACCATGTACTATTCTGTATGTACAAATAAAAACGTTTGTTGTATTTGTTTCTAGCGGCAATAGAAATAAATAATTATCATGGTTCACGACATACCGTCTAGTGATAGACAGACAGCAGAGCCTTAATAATAGGGTCCCGTTTTGTGGAACTTTAAAAATGATCGTTTTGGCCATTTTGGCGTTAAGGACCTTTAAGACATGACATCCAGAGGTATCAAAATATAGAAACAACGCGTGATTTATAAGGTAAAATATAGGCTTAATAAAACTGCTGCCACCAAGTGCCATAAATTATCACTTTCTTAGATAATATGGTGATGGATTAAAAAAATTATGTTACCTACCTTCAATTTGAGATCAGGTTTCAACTTGGCCCGGCGACGAGACGGCGTGTGAAGGTCAGGTTCTTGTTTGATCTGACCAAGGGGTATGAGTCCAGGTGATGGTGAACCCAAATCATTTAACGAAGACATATTCATACCTAAACAAAATTAATATTATTATATTTTATCAATTTTGCATTTTCATAAAAAAAATATTTTAGATTGAATTAACGCATCATAATGTAAGTTTAAATGTTAATCACACAAACAGTCTTATTATAAAACGAGGTCTAAAGTTAGTATTTGGTTTAAACCATTGGCCGCCTAGACTATATTGACAATGACAGAAGAGAAAAGTCAAGTTGAGATGTGTTAATGGTTTAGTCGTCTAAGTTAATCATTTTATAACTAAAAAAAAACTCACTGTCGCCTGGGAACGAAGGAAGCCCAGATACATTTCCTGCGAGTCTTTCTCTCTCCTGGTTTCTCTTGATACGACGCAATTGTTCCTAAAACATAACATAGACATAAAACCACTAATATAATAATTAACTTTTTTTTATAGGAAATAGTACAAATTTATAAAAAATAAATAATTAATAAGTGTGAGTGCTTATTCCCACAAATATGTTATTTTATGTAAATGGACCTTATTATATATTATATTGCCATAACAGCAGCCAAGTGATATAATCAACCGACTAATTGGGCGGCTACAAATAAACAGATAACTGACTCTTGTAACCTGTTAAAAATTAAGTAAATCATTAATTGAATGACATTTTGCACTTTTAATGCTTCCCATGGTTTTTCTAGATAATTTTACTACCAATTTATCCACCAATTATGTCATATGAATGTAAATAATTCTTATTTAATTCTTCATTCGGCGAATAAAACTTTATGAACGTTTTAACCGAACACAATTAAATTTTTATCTAATTACTTTCCGATCCCCTATTTTTGACAAATATTTACTTTAAAACAACTTCTCCTGTTCGATTTTCAACTATTTATTTGCAGTACTGACAAACATACCTGTATTCTCCTTTTCTCTCTCTTCATCTCTTCCTTCTGTGTCTCATCCATTGTAGCAAATTGTCTAATGAAATTTTCGTCCTTTGTCGATCTGATCTTTGTATAAGCCTCTATAACAGCCGCTTTTCGCACGAGTTCAACGCGTGTGTACCGTTGACCGGAGGCATTGCGGAACGTACGAACTATTTTAAGAACGCGGCCAGCTGAGGAAAGAAATCGTTTAAATTATCAACCTTATTCCATTATAATAAAGATTACTGTTCAAACTATGGGAGAGTGAGTTATTTACCCTGATTCGAAGCCTGGTTTTGGTCGTTTTGATTAATCTGTGGTTTCTTCTCGGATTGACCCAGTATCATTTTTCTCAATTCTGCCCTTTCAGCTTCTTCTCGCTCCATTGACAACTATATTAAAACACGAGTTACAATAATGTTGAATTTCATGTTATTCACTAAACAAAGCGTATTTTCTTTTTCCATTTTAATAGGGATGACGACTAATTTTTGTTTGTTCGTCCGTCAGGTAGAGTGTAAAAAAATATTAAACACGCATTTTTTTTTCGTTATCATTAAATTACGTCGTTACATGGAGTTGAAATTCTTCATGACGTCACGTTATGGTCGTTTTCTACTACTGTGACCTAGCAAGCCCCCACTCCTCAACTTTAATGCCTGTTATCTAAGCTATTTCTTGTTAAATTGAAGTAAAAAAAAGTATCTAATATTTTTCTATTATCTGACTGACGGACTAAATAGAATTGCATTTTTTTTTACCCAGTCGTCATCCCTTTTTAGCGCAGTATCAGTAACAAGGATTTCGTACTCAAGAATATTTATTCCAAATGACAAGCTAATTCAAATGATGTTGTTATATGACTCAATTCATATAAAAAGAACAGATATTTCGGAGTAACTATGAAAAACATGAGAGTTCCAAAATTAAAAAACAAAATGTCCTAAATAATATCTTTTAAAAGTTACCTGTTCTGTAGTTTTCTTATTAGCGAGCATATTCTCTATATTCTTGCCCATCTCCTCCAAATCAGACTCTTCACTGACTGAGCTTTCAGCTTCATCAGTACTCAATACTTCAGTGCTTTGTAAAACTCGATTCTGTAGTTCAAATATACGCTGGCATTCTTCTTTATACCTAATTAATAAATTTATTTACATGAACTTTAACACTACAATTATTTTATATTATTGGCTACTTGATTGATTTCGGAAATGTATTTATTTTAGATTTTTAGATGATTGTTCGATCAAGATGGTTATTAAGATCATCTTGAACCACTATCAGATTTATTTTTCACCAAAAAGTGTAAATGAAGAGAAAAATATTTTCATTCCTTATTTTTCATAGCCCAGCAAAAAAAATCAGTGACATTTGGAGCCGTCAAGTCCAATGTGAATACCGGTTGCACTAGCAAAAAGTACGTTTAGTTTATTGAAATGTGACGTCACACGATGCTCCGTTTGCTGCCCGCGTTTCGGTTCAAAAAGTGAATTTCAAAAAGTAAAATATAAAGTTTGTTTTAAAACAAATAAATACTACATAGTTATTTTTTACATATAAGTTACTATACTAGAATAACAACCAACCTTTCTTGGTGTTCGGCAATAGAAAATCTGTTTCCTCTTGAGAATTTCGTCATGCCTTCCTCACCTGCCTTCGCTTTTTCGGTGGACAACGTTCTCACCACATCAATAACTTCCCAGCGAGATAGTTTTTTGATCTAGCAAACGAATTACAAAACGTGAACCATATCCTTTATCAGTTTCCATTTTCCTCACTCCTGCGGATTGTGAGTAACATGGACACGTAATACGTAATTCATTGTATTTTATACCTAATGTTTATCGAAACAAGAGTCTATAAATTTTAATCGTACATTCCGCTATTACAAAAAAAATAGAGAAAATGTATTTTTCTTTAGTAAAATCATATCTCGAGACCAACTAGACTGATTTGACTGTATAGCCAAATATAACATAATTTTTAACATAGTTTAAAGGTTAAAAATTCAATGAGATATTTCAAGATGAATAAAAAATGTTGGAATGAAAATAAAAATACAAACAACATAAAACTAACCTCTTCTTCTGGCACTCCGAATTTCCTCAACAAGGCTTTAGCATTATTCAAACTGAGCCTCCTCAAGTCAGCATCAGTACCTGTGACCGTTCGTTTCGGTTGTTGTTCCTCATTCGGTTGCTGAGTAGGTTTATTAGGGACCCGAACGTATGAGAACCCTTCGCCGCATCCGGTTGGATCTGCCGGACCGGTAAGTTGAAGGAGGCATTTCCCACGCATAGCTTGAATATAAGCTCGGGTTGTATTCCATGGAGCAACTTTAACCTGTTAAAAAGAATCCAGTTAAAATAAATAATAATATACTTTATGGCACACTAGAAAAAAAAAAGCAAGTTCCAGAGAATCACAAAAAAAGTATAAAAAGGCGGCCTTATTGCTAAGCAGCAATCTCTTCCAGGCCACCTATGCAGGACAAAAAATAAAAGGGTGTAGATTATATGCGGTATTGCAACGGTCGGAATTATATAAGATATATCTTAATAAATGAAATAAAATTATATATAAGGAGATAAAATTAAGATCAGGAAAGGAAATAGCTTTTAACTCTATAGCCAAAAGAACTTAGTGAGCGAGATTACCTGACATAGGAGAAAAGTCAGTAAAATAACGAGGAATGTCCAAAGAGAGATTAAAACAGGATCGCATGTTACACTGAGAGGAAGAATAGCAGAAAACGAACCATTAATATGTCTTAATCAAACTTGGATAGAATGTGGAAAAAATACAATACAAAATAAACGCTTTACACGTAACGAGCGCGCGAGACAGCTATTAATCGATGGCTGTCTCCTTTCTTATGGAGAGAATAATTGATTGAAAATTTAAGAAGAAAGTGGTCAAAACAATACTTTCATTTACATACAAAATAGACGATACGGAGTTTACCGGGATATAACATAAAATAGACAAAGCCCCGCTAATTTATTGAAACTGTAATATAAGCTCCTTTAAATGTTATATTCGACACTTATTTGAGATAATAACAAAGAATGTAATTTCAGCATCTGGCACATTAATATATTCTTACTTCATCGTCCATCTTCAGTTGCATTTCTTCATCGTCATCTTCTTGGGGCGTGAATATGAATTTCTCTCCGTAACCGGCATCTTTGAGCCGTTGTTCAGCGGCCGCCATACTGAAGTAAGCACAACACTGCTCCGGTGACACCATAGCTCGAATCTCCTCTTCGGACGGCAAGCGAAACTCTGGCTTTATCACCCACCTTGAGAAATTTCATAATAATTAACATCTAAAAATTATTATGAACGTGAATTCCAGTGTTTTTATGTTTCATTTTACATTAATAGGGTTGATGACTGGGAAAAAAAAGCAAATTCTATTTAGTCTGTCAGATAATAGAAAAATATTAAATACGTATTTTTGTTTCTTGCTTCAATTTAACAAGAATTGGCTGAGATAATAGGCAAGAGTTGAGAAGAGGGGGTTCGCTACGTCACAACTATGTCGAAAATGCTCATAGTGATGACATTACGCGACATTTCGACTAAATATATTCAAGTTTCTATTAACAAACTATAGTTACCAATTCGAATCCAGCCCCGTCCGTTTGAAATCAGCACACAATTTAAGTCTTTTCCGTATAGAACTCTCAGAGTGTGACGGGAATGCCCTTTTTATGTCGTCCATCTTGATACGCCGCGGATTGTGTGTAGATTTCCAGAACAATCGATAAATATAGACCTGCAAAATAAAAATACCTAAAATATAGATTACAATACCTACCATCTTTAAAAATAACTGTTAAAAGCATGTATTTATTTTTATTCTTTGCTCTTAGATTTGCTCTTTTTATTCTTAGGTACTCATTAGCTTTTCACTTCCTGCAACTGGCGACGTGACTGTTTTATCATAATAAATTACTATAATATTTATTTTTCTTCAAAGTGTTATAAAGGAAAAACGTATCTTTATTAATTAATTTAAACTGTCCCGCAAAAACAATCAGCCACGTGATATTTCTAGCCGTGACGTCACATTTCAATAAATATAAGTAACGAATAATAAAAGTCATATGGGCGATTGTTTTAAACTGACCTGTAAGAAATCTCTGACGAAATTATTCGCCCTCTTAGAGTTGGGACCTGGTACCTCATACAGAGGACACTCTTGTCCAGCCACATATACAGCATCGATTTCGCGAATATAATATGCTTGCCTGCAACAAATTTAATTTTGAAAATTATTCTTATTTAATAATATAGATAAACGCATTAAAGTCGTTAAGGCTGGTTATAGTGTAACGCAGACTGTCCACGCTGAAATTTGTTCCGTAGTTTTGATTACGGTTATATCAGTAATTTTTTGGAAAAATAAACAAAGGTATTCACCAGTGAAATATGGATTTCGTAACATGGTCGTTGATTGTGAATACATTTTTTGATTTATAATATATAAAGGTTTTCACTAGTGAAATAATCAACATGGATTTCGTGACATGGTCGTTGATTGTGAATACATTTTTTGATTTATAATATATTTGTAAAAAAAATACTCTGTATAAAACTAAATAGATAAGTTAAATTAAACCATAACCAAGCTCAAAATATACACGTAACATCAAATTAAATTCACAATTTAAGTACAACTGTAATGTTTTTGGAGGTATTATAAAAAAAAAGACACTGTAGATGCATCTAGGGGTGACACTAATTACAAAGACAATATTTCTAACCTTGTCCTAATGACGAGAAAGTCGGTCTGTGGCATAGTGTGTTCGTATATAGGTGCCCGATACATGTTATTTTCCACAACAGGCTGAGTAGCTCCCGGGGCTAAAATACCAAGGAAAGGAGAAGTGTGCGCGTACGCTGTTTCGCCATACTTTAATGGTTTCGGGCCGCTATCCTGGAAAATAAATAGGTGGTAGTAAACAATGATCAGTAGTAGGTAAATGGAATAGAGGTCAGTGATTTGAAAAGAAAACATAATATGGTTGTTGCTTTTTTTAATAAAGGTGTCACTAGAGGGGGAAGAATACGGGATCCTGCAAGGAGAGCACAAACGCAAAATATGGATATTCCTTCGGAATGGGTTCATTATGATTTTTCCCAGAACTTGAGTAGAAAATTTCAACATGTTCAGATCTAAAAGTATAAAATAAGTTCCAATAGAATACTTTTAGATGATTTGTTAACAATTTTTAAATTGCTACATGTCATTATTTCTGTGAGGTTTTATGATATAAATACCAAAAATTAAAATACCTAGTCCAAACACTGCTAATAAGTAATATTCTTTATTTATGAAAAATTATAATAACGAATAGTTGTATATTTTGTAAAGTAAAAGAAAATCATATTAGATTGGCATATATCTTGGAAGTTCGAAATTTCAAAAACCTTGATATATTTCCGTATTAATAAACCGAAATTATTTAAAAAATATAGATGCAGTTACTAAAAGATATTCTATTTTCAATATTACCTTTATCGCTGTTCGTTTGTAATAATTCTTGATTTTAGTACACATCCCAACTTGACTTATAAGAGGTGGGTGTTCTTCGCAAAATTCCACCAGTACCAGTTCACCGTCCCGCCCACTGAGATCTTCGGGAGTGCGCATAAAGAATACGTCACCACCACCAGACGCGAGACGTTCTGCCTCCCGTTGCTAACAAATCAAAATGGAAACCAATCTGTTAAACTAATAGAGATAATAAGCATTATTTTGTTTGTTAGTTTGGTTTGTTAGAAAAAATTATAGTCGATCAGGTAGATTATTGAAGAATATTAAACACGTATTTTTTTGCGAAATCAATAAATTACGTCGATACATTGAGTTGAAATGTCGCATGACGTCACCTTCATAATTTTCTACATAGTTGTGACATAGCAAGCCCTAACTTTTCAACTTTCATGCCTATGATCTGTGCTATTTCTTACTAAAATGAAGTAAAAAAATCGCTAACTAAAAACAGAAAGAGAAACATGTGAATACACAAAGTAATTTATTCGTTAAGCATTAATACATAAAGATCAAATTCACAATAGTTGAAGTTTGATTTTATACACATACATAGTTATCCATACCTTAGCTTTCTTTTTTATATGCTTCAATAGAGGTTGAACTGGATGTGGTCCAGGCGCAGCTAACGGTCCATATGATAACTTCCTCATAGCAGGACGATGGAAGGCACGTAGCCTAGCCGGTCCCATATGAGTTTGTATGAATGGTGCTCGTAATTCTACTACAGGCGTACTGTGTTGAATCAATTGGCCGCCGCCTACTTTCAAACGTGGATTCTGAGACTTGGGTTGATAGTGACTGAAAGGAATTTTTCGTTACATTATAATAATAAATGACAAGTCCAAAATGTTCGCAAAACTTTTTTATACGTCATTTCATGACGTCATTCGGATATGTACACAAAACAGACGCATAGATTAAAAGATTTAAATGACAGAAATAGTGCCATCTAACGAAAAGTAAGGCAAAAAAGCACCATCTAGGAATCTGTTTTACAACTAATCTAACAGATGCAAAATTTTTTCTACTGAAGCAACATCACGTTAGCTTTTTTTTGTGACCATCGCTGTCTTTCATTCATTTCATTTACATTTTACATGTAGAAATTAATTTATTCCCTTGACATTGACAGAATTGTGCGAAATGCGCAGATATGCCATTAATAAAAAAGAAGAAGAACATCACGTTATGGCGTGTGGTGTTTCAAGTCACGTGAACACAGACAATAAATCTACTTTTAACTTTATAGAATAGGCTTGCGATTTTATGACTCAAAACCAGAATTTATGGTAATTTCAATGTAAATGTAATTTTTGTGCAATTTCGTGTCCTGTGTTCACTTTCGAAAGTACTCTATTGTCACGATAGCAGTACTTTGCCGGAACTGTGACACTGATAGTATAAACTCAAATTTCGTAAGCTTGATTCAGAGATGGATAGGTAAAATAGTGGGATGTGTCAATTAGAGTTAGTTAGTAGAGTAAGTTGTCAGGTTAGTCTCAGGAAAGGATGCAATGTAGGGATTTTGGTTGAATAAAATAACTAAATTAAATGTTATTACTATAAATAAATACAAACATAGTTTCAAGAATTTTCCCAACAAATAAAAAGAGGGTAGTTAAAAATAACTAAACACACTATGTCATTATTATAAGTAAATTCGGCTAAAGAACAAGTATCCAAGCAAAGAATAAACTATTAAAAAAAATATATAAGTAAATACATACACGTCATTAGAAATGTTGAACGGATCCCTGTCAGGTGATTTAGGTGGCGGAGGCGGAGCATCCTCTTGCAACACGTTGATGACACCAGCCTTGCCCAGTAATATCTTCGATTTTTTCACGTGAGGATGTGGAATTTTCACTTTTGGAGCGGGTCCACGTTCTAAACAATATATATTAACAGTTATTTACCAAAACATTCGATTACCTATATGGAAAAGAGCTGGACGTTAGAAACTTTTATATTATTATATTTGAACAAATTTGCATTCAAAATGCTATATTAGATAATATTCTTAATGAAAAATGTATAAAAATATCCACTTTGTCCCTGGTACTTTGAATTGATCAATTTAATTAGAACAAATTTTCAACTTTATTGAAAGTTTAAAATATTTCTTTCGGCTGTTTGGATTTCGTGAACGTTGATGAAAATACGCTCTGTAGAAGCGAAAAAGAAACAAGTGCTTGAAAAATTCTTCGGTCTAGTTAGGTCCTGGGTAGCTCAGTGGTTATAGAAAGGTTGAAAGACGTGTTCAAATCCCATATCAGAGTACAAGGGACAAAGTGGATTTTAAAGTATTAAAGATATCCATTACCTCTTGTTATCTTCGAGGGGTCTACATCATCTGGAATACCCAATATAATATTCTCATCATTGGGATCCAACGTCAATATCTTTGGTTTTGGTATCTTGGGCATGTTCTCTGCGTCCCATATGACTTCATCCTCCCACATACCATACACCAGTTCTTCATTTTCGACAGGGAATATACTATACCACGTGTTGTCTTCTCCTTCACCGGCTGCGAGTCCTGATTGTGTATTTGAAGTTGATGCCGTGGAACTAGCAAAGATAAAAGACTAGATTACTCTGTAGGCACTTGTAATACATTAACGAGGTCATTATTAGTGACAAGGGTTAACATTTTTTTACATAAAAACAAGATAGGAGCATATAAGCTGCGCTGTGATTTCGTCGTACGAAAAATGAACCACAAAACTTTCATTAATATCCTAATTCAACCTCAAAAGTTGTCTCACTGGCGCCGGAAACTCTTAATAACAATAGTCCAATCAATGGCTTTCATTCGATCATGCAAATAATGCTGATCTCTTTTGAAGGGAACGCATGGGGCGATAGTCATTAAGTATCGTGCGATAATAAGACTTAATAAACCATCGCCCGACGTGATCGTACCATTTGCTCGTATGACTGTTACCCAATTGGTAACTTGATTATCTTGGGATAAATATTTTAAACTTTCATATGATCATATTAAACCACTATCAGATTTACTTTACCCCAAAAAATATTATTTTAATTGTCTCGTGAAAACAATCTGTCACGTGACATCGAGCCGTGAAGTCATATTTCAATTAAATACGAGCATTGGTTGTACTCCCTACAAAGCCGATGACGTTTAGTTTATTGAAATGTGGCGTCCCAAGATGCTTCGTCATGGTTTTGGTTCTCATAATCCACACATTATAAAACGCATGTTAAAATTTCCAAAAATAAAATATAATTTATTTTAAAACTAAAATACGAATAGTAATTGCTTACATATAAGTTACCATTTCTAACATATATCATAATTTATTGTTGTAACTGTCAATTAGTCAATTAGGCAAGAAATATACATTATTTTGTAAATATACGCCCCTAATAACACAAAAATATCGTTGAAGAAATCCTTCGTAAATCTACTTAACAATTTTAAGTACATACATGGTTGGTTTAGTCTGCAAAGGGGATGGCGCTTGAGGCCTCGGGTGTGAAAATTGCTGAGCGGTGCGACTAACTGAAGTTGGTACCCAACCCGCAGCATTGCTCTTACTATTCAGTCTTGCTAAGACCTGTAGGCACAAAACATTATTACGTTAGCTAAATACATGATTTTAAAACTCTCTTGAATGTATATTTGCGTTTTTTTATATAACTATAAAAAAACGCAAAATTTCATTATGCATAGACAATACAAATATTGCATGTGTCTTTCTTAATACGATACTGACATGGTTTCGAAGCAAGGAATCGATAAGTCGGCATAGCAAATAAGGGGTAACCAGAAAGAAGAGAATATCATAAAACGTGGTCTCTGATTAGAAAACCAATAACTACAGTATAGAGCTCATTCAATAATATAAATAGAAAATCATACAAATATAATATACCAAGCTAAAATGTTGGAGTGTTGAGAGTACCATACCTTATGCTTGATTTCATTGCCATCCCAAATGACGTCATCTTCCCACTGTAACTGTGACACCATAAGAAATGAGTCGTCAGGGAATCCACTATCAGGACTATCAGATGCATCTATATCAGTTACCGCTTCTGGCTCTTTTGGTTTCTCTTCTTGATCTTGTAATGGTGCCTAAATAAAATGAAACAGGCCTCGATAGAATCATCACAAAATATTTTTTGTAATCAATCAAATAAAAAAAAAAATATGTTAGTAAATAAAAATAATCCAACCTTGGTCTTAAACCCATAGTCGAAACCTTCGCCAGACTCCGGTACGTTGAGCATATCGTACCAAACTTGAGCGGGGCCGAAACGCCAATGCGCAGGTGTCGGTTTTTGAGATTTTTCACCAGTTGACGATTGATTATTTTCCGTGGTCGATTGCTGATTCTCTTCCATAGGTCTGTAGCAATAAAAACAATCATAGTTAACAAAGTCAAATTTATTAAAAGCAATGAAAGACAAAAAATATAATCTCTTACACATTATCTATTTACATTGTAGTAAACATAAGTATAAAGCGATATTGTTATGTTACGTTCATATATAACATACTTAAGAAGTTTTTCTTCGTCATCACTCGCATATTGCAACTCTTGCGCATCAGGAATCTGCGGTGGGGTGTCACTGCCTGTACTGCCGCTGCGCTTACGTCGCCTACGCTTCTTAACGCCACGCCATATCTGCGGCAGACTTGATAACTTTCCAGGCCCAAACAGACGAGAGAATAGCAACACCTATGAATATAAAGTAACATGAGATGGGTAATCAAAGACTGTATTCAATCTTAATTTTCCAGCAGCCTTTACAAACCTTATCAGGTCTGAAATCTGGGAATAGTTCTGTGACATCCACATTTTCATATTTGGAGGGCAACATAGCAGCCAATGGAGTTTCCAATTTCTTAGGCCTCTCAGACCTTTGAGGCTTGCTAAAAGAAAACTTTGACATTTGATTATACTTTGTAAATGAATAGAAAAATAAAATTAAAGACATTAGATTCACTCACGGAATAACGGAAGGAGGTGGCATGAGGCCCCCGTCACCTTCCATGTCTCCCTCATAGCCTTCATCATTTGTAGGCTGTTGCTCCAATTGTTCATACATATCATCGTTATCCTTGCTTATCCAGTGTTCATTCGGGTCTGTCACATCAGGCTGTGGACAATCGCTCAAAGGATCTGATTCAGACTTTATGTCATTTTGTGCACTATGCCCAGTGTCTTGAACCTCTCCATTCTCATGTATTATGTCTTGTGCATCTTGGTTAGTGTTAATATCTACCTCCTAGTGTTAACAAAAATTTGTTAGGACACAAAACATTTACAAATGGAAAAGAAAGATAATTTAGACACCGATATACATATTAATCACTAACTAATCATTATTATTACATTAATATAGTATGTGTATGTATATATGTGCTAAAATTATCTTTTAAAAGTTAGTGACAAAATGAAACATAATTATACATGGACTATTTTTTTTTAAATTTACAATCGGCTCACTCTTGACCTCAATCTAGCCTAAGGGCATAGATGAAATCCACGGAGGGACGTGTTTGCCCAGAAGGAACCTATTCACTCTTGCCTTAAATAGGTCTGGGTTATATGCACTCGGGAATATAGACGCCGGCAGGGAGATCCACTCCTTGGCGCCGCGCAGTAAAAAAGATGAAGAAAAGCGCTTTGTGCGGCATTTTGAAATATCAAATAAAAGAGGATGATATCCCGCCGTGCGCCTAGATAGCCGATGGTAAAAGGTGAAGGTGGAATGAGCTCATGCAGCTCCCGAGCACACTCCCCGTAATACATCTATAAAAGACGGACAGGCAGGCGCTATTACGGCAATAGCTCAGGCTGAGCTTGGATTCAACTAGTTTTATGTCGCCAATCTCTTCTATCTTGGCTTTGCTTTCCACCGAGTCCACAAATGACTGCAGTATATACGATTGGACTTGCACTTTGTATAGGGTCAAAAGCTGTTCCGGTGTGATGTACCGCTTTACTCTGTTTAAGGTGCCCAGTTTTTGGTCGCTGTTTGTGGTCTATACATGATGTATTCGCCAAAGTTAAGGTTGGCGGTTAACTTCATGCCAAGATGCTCAAGGTTATCCGTCACAGCAATAGATGCACCCCGGAAAGTAGGAGTCAGGTTGAAGTGAGTCCTTTTTGCACTGAAAAGACACGCCTGCATTTTGGTGGTATTTAAGTTAACCAAATTTTTGTCACCCCATTGGGAGACAAAATTTAAGTTATCATTCATATGCATGACCAAGGTCTTTTGTTAAGAGATGCACGTCTTGTCCATCGGCCCCTGCATCGGAGAAATACTTCTCTATGACCGTGCCGTTATCTGCATATCCAACAATGCTTGGGCTTAGCAGGTCATTAACGTGCAGCAAGGAAAGGTTCGCAGAGAGGACAGACCCCTGAGGAACTCCAGCATCGATCGTTTTTAAATCAGAGACATAACCGTCGATGACCACTCTGATTGACCATTCACTAAGGAAGTTAGATATCCAGTAGCAAGAATCAGCAGGCATTCCATACGCTAGAAGCCTGCTCAGCAGACTTGAATGCTTAACCCTGTTGAATGCCTTCAAGATATCTAGAGACACTGCAAGTGCCTCCCCGTGCTTCTCAATAGCAACGTGCGACATACACTAGAAGACCCCCAGTGGATCGCCCATGGTGGAAGCCATATTGCTGGTCACTAAGGAGATCATTCTGCTCAAGATAAGTCAATAATTTGCTATTGAGTATCCTTTCCATTACTTTGCAAATAATGGAGGTGATAGCGAGGGGTCGATAATAACAAGGATCGGCTCGGCTGCCTTTTTTGAGTACTGGTTACCTAATGTGCAAATTAGCAAGCTTCCAGGACTTCGGAACCGTTTGACTACTTAGAGAAAGACGATACAGGCGTGTCAACACAGGAGACAACTCGGATGCACAGTTCTTCAGCACTCTTGCAGGTATGCTATCAGGTCTATTAGACTTATACACGTCTAAACGCTTTAACACTTGCCGGACCTCTTTATTGTGTATTGTGATCCCTGGCATTGACGATTCACATCGAGGTAGAGTTGGAGGGATTTAATAGCCAGCGTCCAGGCGCGAATTTTCCGCAAATAGAGAGGCAAATAAATTCACTTTCTCAGTAGCGATGTGAGCCAGTGAACCATCAGGATATTGCATTGGGGACAGCGTGGGACGACAGACGCTAATTTCGACTGATTTTGATAAAGACAAGAACTGCTTGCTCCCAGAAGGGTAAGCTGCCAATCTAGCCCCTATACGACTAACATGGTCGAAACGTGCCTTTCGAAGGACCCTCTTACATGACTTTGCAGCAGAGTTAAAGGCCCTCCTCTTGGCTTGGACCTTTTGAGTACGGAAATTGCGATCACGTGCTTGAACCAAAGCTTGGTATGCTGACTGGTTATGGACATCAGCACGGGCACAATCAGCGTTATACCAAGGGCGGGCTTTGTATCCGAGCGGAATATTGGAGAATGGAATAAGGTATTCCATTCCCTAGCAGAATCACCACAACAGAAGTACTCCCGCTGCCATAGATAAGATGCAAAAAAATGCCGCATCGCATCCCAACCTGCCGACTCGCCGCGCTCCTCTAAGGCTATCGTCCGGAGGTGAGTGGATCGACACTGATTTCACCAGACAGTAATCAGACGTTCCCAGTGAGGCTGAAACTGATATCGAGTACCAATCTGGATCTGTTAACAGTAGAAGGTCCAGGCAATTAGGTGTTTGTTCGCCGACGTCAGGTTGCGTGTAGCCTGATTCACGAGCTGGGTGAGATCTATTGAAATCGCAAATTTGCGTGCTTAACGCCCAGCGAGGTCGGTTACCTAGTCTGGGAACAGCCACTCGCGAGGGTGAGCATTGAAAACAAGCTGCGCTGTTGGGTACTTCTTCTGGGCTAAATCTGCGCCTCAATCAGGTGTTTCATGAGTCTAGTCGTCTCTTGATCGCCACTATGGGACCGGTAGACACAGGCGTAGATTGTTTTGTCTAATCCACTGTCCACCAGCAGCGAAAGCACGGAAATCTCATAATTTTCAAAGCAGCGGAGTCGCCTATAGCAAATGTCTTAGCGAACATACACGTAGACCCCAGCCTTCTTCCTGATAGGTCACATTCGACGGTGTCGCTATCTGCGGCTCCGTTAAAAAGAGTAGGTGCGACTTCTCAGTCTCAGGGTGGTGATGGACCGGATCGAGATTGGGGTGCAATCCCCGGATATTAGTGAAGTGCACTTTCAATGGGAGGAAGTGCAGCCGTTGGAAAACCTTTTTCTTTTTTTTGTCCTTCATGTTTCGGCAGAGTTAGATGGTGAGCAGAGAAAGATCCAAGTTCCACTCAGTCATTTAGAATAACCAAGAGCTTTACCAACCAATGGAGAACTTATCTGGAGACCGCAGGGATGCCCGAACCCCCCGAAACTGCCATCGGTTCATCCCATCCAGTCGCCAACTGGCTGTTGGAGCATTTCGGGATTTTTCGTAAGTTGGCGGGGCAGCCTTTGGCGCGTGGCTGGTACGCTACTTGGGCCCCCCACAACCTGCGGTTGGCCAACGGCTTAGACCGTGCTTCGAAAACCACTACTCTCCAGAATGAATTATCTGGTTCAGTTTTGCTCAAAAGTCAAGACTAAACTGAAGCAGTGCAGCAAACTCTCCTCATGTCCCCCAAAAGGCGCTGACACTCTCGCTCACCGACGGTTCGCAGTAAGCTGCTTGGCGCCGAACTCCGGCGAGTGAGTGGTCGCGAGCCAGGTGGCCCTTTGAAGGACTGCTTCACTACAGTAAAGTGGCCACCTTACTCTAGCGAAGCGATGGTCGCTTCGAAATGGATTGACCACCATTTATCGGTAGACTAACTGCGCTGCACGTGAATGCCTACAGCGGGCGATGGGGGCGTCACTTCCCGATACAGAATTTTTTTTTAAACTTTAAAATATTTTCTGAGTTACAATCAATTCAAATTAAAAAAACCAAAAGCAGTGTGATCAACAAATAAAAAGCAAAGTGAAAAGCCCTCCTATAAAGAGACAGACATTATTTTGAAGGTATTTCCTAACAGAATTAAGGATAATTTTGAGTAACCAAGTTAATATCATAATTTAATATGTGTCATCCAACCACCAATAATCACACTGTGCATATTTCTCAAAGTGCACAAATACTTAGTAAACACAGGGGCATTGTTCTACCACAATAGACATTATAAAATAGTCCTAGATGTTAACTTTAACTGCACAGTTAAGTATGTAAAAGAAAATATCTGTAATCATTGATTTTTCACAAATTATCTTTTATGTAATGTAAGACAACAAGTATAAAATCTTCCATATGTGATCAGTTTTTATTCTAAAACTAGGGATGATGACTGGGTTAAAAGAAAATAATTCTATTTAATCCATCAGTCAGATCATAGAAAAATGATAAATACATATAATTTTTTTGCTTCAACTTAACAAGAAATGACGTAGATAATAGAAATTTAAAGTGGAGGTGTGGGGGCTATGCTACGTCACAGTTTTGTAGAAAATATACGAAAGCATGATGACATACGAAATTTTAACTCAATGTATTGCCGTAATTTAATGATTTTGAAATAATTTGTGTTTGATATTTTTCAACAATTTGCCTAATGGACACACAAACAAAAATTAGTCATCATCCCTATTATTTGTTTTCACTTTTCAGCAAATATACTACTAATATTATAAATGTGAGAGTCAAAAGTAAGGATGTATGGACCTATATATGTTTTTTTATTCTAGTAAAGACATAAAATTGAATTGTTAATTAAATCGTCATTATCAGCAAATGGTTCTCTCTGCTGAGTTACAAGCCTTTCCTATGAATAAAGTAACAGGGAGAACAGACAATAAACCACCAACAACAAAACCCCAGTGCAGAATCTTAGGCTGCATATACAGCTGGAACCAACAGGGCTCAATACAATAACAACTATAATATAAAATCTATCTATCTAAAATTTAGACCACCACTTTATAGACTGATATGCTTCTGTAGTTACAGATCAAAGACCCTAATCAATGCACCATTAAGGACCTCATGAAGATAGAACTTACCTTCAAATCCTCTGCGACATCATCAATATCAAAAAAATCAACAGCTGATGGACTTTTCTCAGTATAATCTGAAAAATACAAAATATAATCTGATGAAAACAAACTGAAAAAATTTCACGAATATATGAATACATGTGTGTTAGCAATTACTTATATTTATAATTAGCAATCACAGACTGTTTTCACAATACAATTTGAATAAATAAATAGTAATATGTTTTTCTTCTATTTAATAACACTTTGGAGAAAAATCAATCTAATAGTGGTTTAAAATGATCATATGAAAGTTTTAAAATAGATTCCCAAAACAGTCAATTAGCCATATCAATACTTTAAAATAGAAGCAACTGTAGTAATCGCTCAAAACATGGTACCTCACACAAGTACTTAATCAATTTTTTGGAGTACCCAAACATTGTTAACATACTACCATAGAATTCTTTTATATCAAATTCATAATAAAGAGTCAATGAGGAGAAGATAAAACTCATAAAATATTTTACCTTTCTCCTCATCTTCTTTGGCTAGCTCTTCTTGCTCAAGAACCTCTGATATCATAGATCCAAGCCCCAGCCGATTAAGCGATGATAGCATGCGTTTAGAATCTCCGTCGAGGAGGCCATCGTCTTCAAGTTGTCCGCTTTCATCAATATTTCCAAACAAAAATCCAGTCAGGTCCAAACCCGAGCGACTGTGTTCCCCAGGATCGTCACTATCACACATTGTGTCAGACTAAAAGCGTTTTGTGATATCAGATTAAACACTTTATTTCAATGACTTTATGTTTTATTTTATGATAATAAATAAAACAATAAGTTGACGAAAGTACATATGTATATATCGTTGACTCCTTCGGTAAACTAATTCTGAAATGACAAATAATAATGACAAAACATCTAGCTAGGGGTGTACGGTACGTATAATATATGGACCGATACATATCGATATGATCACGCTCCATAATATCGATATGAATTAATATCGTATTCAAAAATATCACCATGTCGAATAAAGTCCAAAGAAAATGTTGAAGCTATCCAAATATTAACATGCATCTCCAACGACAAAACTGTTGAACTCCCGTCCTCCATGGTTGAAGGTTTTCTTCTTAATTAGTTTGAATTTAAATAATGATATTTGACATTCTGTTCTGCACATGCGTCTCTTGTTTTCTAGAATATTACTCTTGAAAAAAGCCATTGTTGGCGCTTGTTTTACTTTACAAATTATATATTTGAGTGTGTTTCAATAAACTTATGTGATCAATAAGTCCCCTGGACTTTCACTATATCCTGTCACCATCGGGTGTTAAAAACGAGGGCAAAATAGAACTCCATTTTGTCGTTTTCGTTTCTTTTTTCTTTGCTTAATTAAGTGTAATTATTTTAATATTATATTTAGTTATGGTGTTCAATATGGTTATTTAAAGTAATATTTATTTCAACTTATTTTTAATGTTGTTTGCCTTATTTAAATCTATAGATTCGATATCGGTCGAATTGAGTGGAAACATGAATTAATTACATTATATAATAGAACAACCCTAGTAACTTTTTTTTATTATAATCATTGGCAGGATATTACTTTTATAACTATTTGCGTTATTTTTTTAACCATTGGGGGCATGAATTATGTTTCTTTTAAGAGTAATAAACTATTATAAATAAAAAGATTCGGAAGACCCATCGTTGGATTTGTGTTAACAATAAACAAAATATTTCATAAGCGAACAGAAGTGAAATATTATGAAGAAGATGAAGGTATCAAAATGTAGTTTATCCAATTACTTAAACCAAATGTCTAATTTGAAACACTTATAGTGTTCTATTATATAAAGATACTTACATTTTTGTTGTTATAATAAAACTAATTGAGTTTCTAAAATTAATATACAAGTCAATTTTTGGCTACTTTTTGTATTTATTCTAATGACAAATGTCGCATGCAGACGGTCACCATTGGTTAATATATTATAATCTAATGAGGAAGTATTAAAAAAATAAAGCGGTAAAGAAAGCACCTCACGATTTTTGCAGGCAGCGAATGGACCAAAGATAGTCATTTCCGTTTCTTTTAATTAACATATTAAAAACCTGAAATTTGTAAACTTCGTTCGCGTGTCCGATCCACACTTGGCCGGTTTTTTTGTCTTATGTTATTTCTTTTTCTTGTTAATACCAACTAAAATAATAATATAAATACCAACGAATTACTAATAAAGTAAGCAAATAACACCATAATACTTCGCTCAGTTAACCGACCGCACGCGCATAACACAGAATGTATTGTGCGTACAGTTAGTAGTTAAGTCGATTGTTATTCGAATAATCATGGCAGGAAACTACTAAATCGACATTCGAATGTGCAGTAACACAATTTTCGATTCACTCGTTCGTTTTTTTTTACAATCGGCCATCGCTACTACGAACCACCTGCTTGCGTAACTTTTGGGAATATGATACTAGCAACATTAACAATGATAACTTAAGAAAAATTTATTGTCTTGTCTGCAATTATTATTTATTGTTAAGTGCGACATAAAAATACCATAGAAAGATTTAAAAAATAATTTTAATATATCGTTAATATCACAAGCATTTAGATTTTTTGTTACCAAGTGCGTATTATGGCATATCTTCTAACGTTACTTTGTCTGTCGGTGTACGCTATTAAAGGTAATTAATTTTGCTTAGCTAAACTTTATTTGTAACAAGTGTTATTTTTTACATAAATGAACTATCCTTTAGATGTGCAATCCCTTCATATGTACGTCACCAACAACGGGCCGGCAGTGGTTGGATCCAAAATAACGTTCACAGCTGTTGTAACTGATTATAATAGTGAATATCTAAAGTATTCATTCTACGATAATGCTCAGCCGCAACACCAAAATTCGGTAAGTAGATACTGTTTAAATATTTAAACAGGTTGTTTATTACTATGTTCTACTCTTACGAATTAACATGACACCTGACAGCCTATTCTATTTCTCCGAAAACGAAATTTCATCAATTTTCGATATGACTCCAACAGAAGTAGGACCTGACACTGCCTCTGATACACGACAATCTTCATAGATATGATTTAAATAAAATTATAAGAACTATTTGAAATTTTTAGAATTTTCATTTGATGACAAATAGAACAGGGCCTATTAATTCATACGAGTAGTAAATACGTGGATGGTTTTAACTATTTATATCCTTTTATTTCAAATTAATGGTATAACAAAAGTGTATACAAGGTACATAGGACCTCTAACCTTTCACTAGGACTTACACCTTCCATATTGTTTGTACTCCTACTTAAATTGAATATTATATGAGTCACTTGTTATTTGATTCATACATATACCAGTTTGAGGCATGATAACCGAAGCCTAAAAAGTTACTAAGAATGGAAACTATCCCTTTCCTGACCAAAATCTTACACCCTTGTAAAAGTGTTTAAAATTCACAAATTTAAAGATATCCTGTAATAATGCCAGTGTCAGAAATATAATATAGATATATGTTTTATTGCAGTACATTAATTCTACGGGAATTATGAAATGGACTGTTGAGTACCCTAGAAGTTTATATGAAGCAGGAGAATACACAGTCACAGTCTATTTAATGCAGGATTATAGCGGTTTCTGGATCCATGAGACTTCAAATAGTACCACATTTAATTTAACAGGTAACAAAATATGAAATAGAAAAATTATGCTAGGCTTACAGCTACAAAATGGTACCTAAGATTGCCGTTTGAGTGTACTTTTGTATTTCATGTCTGTCTGTATACTATCTTTCTTAGGAGTTGTTTATTAATGAATGGTTATGTTGTAGTAACAATTTTCTTATCAAAGAAAGTCTTAGATTATATAAATACCTACATGAAGGTTAAACTAGCATACCAATATAAGAAATCTAGTGTTACTTATCTAGATTTATTTATCATACTCCTCTAAAATGCTTTTGATTAAAATCTTATATATATACCTATTCAGTTGGTCTGAAAAGTGGTTGTCATCTTTTTTATATTCCCAAGTGATCGGTTACCTATTCAGTTGGTCTGAAAAGTGGTTGTCATCTTTTTTTATATTCCCAAGGGTGGTCCACCCCAAATTTATACTTGCCTTGATAATTTTCTCATAAATTGTGATACCTGTTTTGATAGAAGTAATTTGATAACACATTATGTGTGACAATTGAGACATTGATTTAATGTTTGTTTAAATTTTTAAATAAGCATTTCCATTCTGACATATGCATTGCAGCATCATATTTAACAAGTTCCAACACAATTCATTCAACATGTTCAAATATTTGCTTTTATTCACAACTGTCATGCTCTGAACACATTTCATATTTAATGCAATATGCAAAACGAAAATGTTAATATAATAGTTTTTGTTGATTACCAATACTTGATTTAGCAATTTCAATGGTGAATCAAGTAAATTTACTTTCACAAGTAATGCGGAATGCTTTATAATGACTGTAGGGTAATTAAATTAATAGCACTACACACAATAATTAGGCTGACTAATTACTATAACTAGTATAACTGCTTTTTCAATGTTATAAAGTATTTTAACTACAATTTTTATGTTACAGCTTCTCTAAATGGAAAACTAAAGCTCAGCCAAAGCGACCAGTTAAGGCCGAACAAATATGTGGCCGTTAACCAGCCTGTGAGTCATTATGTTGAATTGCCAGATAATGAAATTGAATTCCTAAAGAGAAATGCGTCCAGGGTCGTTACATACTGGTTTATAGATTGCGCATTAATAGATCAGACAACAGATTTTTCATTGAATTATACATATACCGACCTTCTGGGTGATCATTACATTGAAGCATTGGTGGTTGCTGATAACGAGCCATTACCGCCATTGACTACGACCACAACGACTACTACAACTACAACGACAACAACGACGACCACTACAACTACAACTACTACGACTACGACTCCAACTCCTAAACCACAGTCTTCATCATTATCACCTGTGAATTTAACTAATGACACACTTCCTGTTCACAAATTAGTTAGAAGAGCAATTTCAAACAAAACAACAAAAGATAGTCCTGCAAATTTTGTTTGTTACAACACTAGTATTGTTCCTATTGGTAATAAATATACATATGGGCATTATCAGGAAACAATTAAAGTTGCAGGTGAGTAATAATTTATTGTATTTTGTATAATATTGTCTCGTTTGCACATTTATGAATAATGTTATGAATGTAAATGAAACAGATGCAAATAAAATTATAGATCAATAATTTCAAAACCGCTTAGGGTCAGTTTTTTGATCCGTGGTTAACTCAACTATTTGTTAAAATGTTCAACAAATGGTTAAATATCAGAAAAATATGTTTTTTGATTAAAAGTTAGCCTAACCAACTGTCAGAATTTCAACCATTGGTCAAAAAATGTAACCGTCACTGGAAGCTAGGTTAAGCACATGACCAATGGTTAAAAGAACAGATGTGCTACTGCATTGTATTTACTCGGTCTCTTGTTAATGTTTTTTATGTTGTTTTTATAACCCTATATGATTACATAGTGAATTTGGACATAAGTTATTTTTGGGATTTCGTTTAATGATGCAATTTCATAGGAAAATATTCATTGTCATTTTAGGGTTATTGAATATAAGTTATATTTTTATCTTGATCATCCTTAGTACATTTGTACTATATAAAATAATTTGTTTTCTTGTTTCCATGGGCATATATCAAATTATTCAATTATCCAAAATCTTATAAAATCCACGAAAAGACAATACAAAAGGTAAATATGCCTACAGTATATAAAATACATATTTCTCGATTTATTTTCCAATATTACAATCCCACCTTGAATATTAAATACTATATTATTTTCACGTATTTCTCTATAAGATAAATAAAAACAAATATTTGCTTTTTATAAAAAAAGTTAGGTTTAAAATAAGTCGTTGTTTTTTATCATTGCTGCTAACATTATTAAAGAAATCGCCTATTTCCTGAAAAATAACACACAGTGCACACAACAGAACAACCATACACATCCACACTGTTTGGTAATCTATAGATTTCTTTTGTCTTTTTGATATTTGGAATAAAATTCTAATGTCAAAAATGGTATATAGTTTGCTCCGTTCATTCAAACCATTAGTGTTGTCACCCAGAAAAAAATTACACATGTCAATGTATAGCAAAAGAACAACTCATTGTGCTGGCAACAAATTAACCAGTGGTTAAATTAAACCATAGCCTAATTTAACCATAGGTTAATTTGGCTATGGTTTAATTTGGCATCAAAAAAGGAAATAATGGGTTAACAATTGGTTAATGTTTTAACTATAGTCAAGTTAACAAATAGTGAATGACATTTGACTATGTATCAAAAAACTGGCCTTTAGCCTTTTAACAGTCCCTATGGAATATCATATGATTTTTGCTGTATAAGGTTTTGAAGAGAAAGCTTAATGGTAGCAAACACATTTTCATGTTTATAATAATCCCTGAAAGATGGCTAGATAATAGATTTCTTTACAGTGACATTAACTTTGCAGAACCAGTGTCAACAATAAATATCTCGGGGCTGAACTGGCTTCAGCATGGCGACCTTCTTCGTTTGCACGTCAAGTACTCTGGAACTCCGCCATTCCAATACTGTGTACAATACAAAGTTGGCCAATATAATGTAACTGGCAACGAAACCTGCAACACAATGTCTCAAACCAATTCCACGGAATTTCCCCTCATACACTACTTCTCAGGCAGCGATCAACACACCGTTGTTGTTATAATACAGAATCTAGTCACGAAGAATGTAACCAGGGCTACAATAAACATTTATAAAGGTACGTATCATATTTATAGCAATCAAGAATAAAACATATTCTCAATACTTATGACATTTTTTTTTTACTTGACGGTACTATAAATTGAGATGAATTTATTATTTTTATACTAATAATCCGAACCGGGTTTGTGTAGTTTATATGTAGTGTATAATTTGCAACATTTATTGTTAAGCCGTCGCCAGATATGTGTTCAAATACGCAAATACCGCGTCGCGTATTGTGACATGGGATTGGCTTATTTGCCAAGTTTGAACACACATATATGGTTTGCCATCATTTCTGTAGTAGTCAGTTTTTGTGCGTTCATCAAAGTAAGCAAATAACAAAGTTTATGCAGGCTGCCACTTGTTTTACAAAAAAAAAAATTATCAAGATATTTTGTAAATGTGGGCTGAAACTTAGAAGATATGTCTGGCGCCTACATGATACTAGCTAGTGTTCACAAAATCAAGATTTTTAATTTAAATGGGACACTTTTTATGTTTGGCCTGCATTGTATCAATTAATATTTTTTGTTCTTTTTAGTCACTGTTCATGCGCAGTTGTCAGTTATCGTGGTTCCTGTCGTGTTTTGTCTTCTCGCCGTAATTCTGGTGGTATTCGGAATAGCTTATTATCAGCATCGTTCACGGTGAGTACTTTTGTTCATATTTATCATAATTTTTTTGTGTCGAATGTTTTATACCTAATCAAAAGTATTTCAACTTCATTGCAAAGTTGTTAACCAGTTGTATTAGTGTCTGGTCACTTGAAAAAGGTAATAGACATTCCAAAGGTATTTAGAGTTATCATCTCTGGTTTTTATTCTTTATTATTTTAATATTCAAAACTTATTTCGTTGACTACAGGAATATTAATTTTGTATACAAATAATCCTGTACCTGTAACTGTTTACAGAACTTATAAATGATGTCAAATTAAACTCACTGCCTACATTACTATGTTCCCACTAGAATACGGTGGTTAGGGCATTATGAATGCTTTGGTTACGCAACATTCACAATGGTCGATGAATATGTGACCAAAAATTTTATATTTCGGACTTCCTTGGATGACAAGTGAAGTCATTGTTCTCTACTATATTTCAATCTGTAATTATTGATATTGATCGTCACCAGCCTATTAATGTCCGCACTGCCGAATCGAATAGAGAGAATGGCCCACTACATGGGGCTAGTTTAGATTGGTGGCAGTGGCGTAACTACAGGGTGACAAGTCGGCAAAAGGCCACGGGCCCCCAGCTGTAAGGGGCCCCCGGTCAGACGAAACTCCTTACTCCTGACATTTATTATTACGCAATAGGGAATATGCACATTTTTGGAAAATGGTTTTATATGATAATTTACATCGATATATAACTGTAAAAAAATACCCGGCACCGAAAAACTAAAATTTTGTAACATTAATAAATTGATGAAAATAAGTAATAGCTATGAGCAGTTTAAACACCTGAATTTTTGGCGCGCTCGTCGTGACGTCAAAGTACACGACTAGAGATATGACATTTCAAATCAATATGGGTGTTTGAGTAATAGATTATTATTCAATTACCTAAATCGATTAACAACTAATCGATTTTTTAAACTACAATGGACTTTTTTAATAAATCATATAATTTACTTAATTGGTGAAATACAAATAAAAGCCTAAAACTCATTTAAATTGTAATCAGTTGTTTAGTTTGCGACATAATACATTGATGTTATTGCATCGATGTTAACTTTTTGTTACAACGACGTCCCTATACGTGTACATTTTCGTCACATCCGCTCTGACAAGTAGCATGGCGTTTAAATATTTTGAAGTTACCGCATTTATTTTGCACTTTTTAATAATTATTTTCAAGACGAAAACAAACTAATATTGAAAAATATTTAGATAGAATTTATTATTAAGCAATAACGATTGTCCACCATCACCATCACCAGCCCTTTTACGTCCCCACTGCAGGGGCTCAGGCCTTCCTTATGGATGGTTAAGGAGGATGGGCCATGACCCTCCACGCTGGCTCAATGCGGATTGGAGAGTATTAACGACTGCAAATGCAGCCGGGACCAACGGCTTAACGTGCCTTCCGAAGCACGGAGTAGTTCGAGATAATAATTTTTTGGTCACCCATCCCGTGACCGACCCTTGCGAAAGTTGCTTAACGACTACAATCGCGGGCCGCGGCGCTTATCCACTACGCCACCGAGATGCAGCCGGGACTAACGGCTTAACTTGCCTTCCGAAGTACGGAGGAGTTCGAGATAATAAGTTTTTGGTCATCCATCCTGTGTTAGTTAAAAGGAACGGAAATGGCATCTATGGTCCATTTGTTTACTGCAAAAAAACAACTTTTGGTAGCTAGAGTGAGGTGCTTTTTAGTGCTTTCTTTTTTTTCTTAAAATACTTCCTCGTTTCGTATTTAAATGTTATAATTGATAATTTCATTTTTATTAAAATGTTCAATTTTATAGTGGTAAACAAAGTGTGGGTATATTGAGATAAAAAGTGATATTACAATTCAATAATAGTAATTGAACTGTCTAATTAAAAAACTACCCTCGGCAGCCATTACCATCTTGCCGGTCTGCTATTGAGATTTCTTACCTCTTTTGAAGGACTCAAGGTTGTATATCGATAGAAACACATGGGGTGACAGACTGTACCGCATTTTAAATGTACGACAAATATAAGACTTGCCGATTTTTTTTGTGTGAGGATGGTAATGAAAACCGGCACTCATTAACTTTCTATAAGGAAAATATTTCTTCAGATCATACGCTATCATTAATACAATAATGTACTGAGTGAGGCAATATCTCTTGTGTAAAAAAGAGAGAGAAAAAGTCTAAATATAAGTCACCGTAATGAGCATAATATTTTTTATTGTTTATTAGGAGACGAGTGTGTGCGATCTAGGTTGTATACTACAGTGGTCTATGGCCTGTTCTCCCTAAATGATTTCGTTAATAGGGAAAGTCTATGCTTCAGCGCGAATACAATAATAGGCATATGGTGATGAATTATTTACTGTAATTATCAAATAAATTTAATTTTCACAGGTACACCATAGAAGTAGCAGATTTCGATTTCGGGCAAGCATACCTCGACTACAAAACGTTTAGTGAACGTTTGAGGGACAGTTTTAGAAACGCATTTAACTTCAGGCAAGATGACACAGATCCGTTATCATCCAATACTAGATATAATTCAATGACATAATTTTGTTTTGTGGTTTGATCACTATATGGTTATTTATGAGAATGAGATAGCACACTCCGACTAAGTCGTCCGGATGAAATAGAAAATTTTCAAATAAAGATCTCAGGCTTAGAGGAGAGACTATTTGGCTGAATGTCCTAGTATACAGAAATTTGAGAGTACAGGTACTTAACCTTACACTTGACATTGAGAATCTTTCGATATTAAGTTTCGGTACACCTAGATTGTTACCTAAATTGTTTTTGTTACAACTATCGCTAGTAAAATAAATAAACTAGTCCAAATTGCTTGTTATTTTCAAATTTTAGTAATTCTTTAATCCGAAGCATTGAAGAACGCTCTTACGTATATATATAGTCCGTACTTTGTGGGTTTACTAGGTCTCAACCAGGAGGACGTATACATTTAAAATATATTTTGTGATAATATGTATATTAGTGCATTTTTTGTATAGTTTTTAAGTTTGCTGTTAAGTATTCGAGCATATAATATAATTTTGTATAGGAAGAAACAAATTAAAAAGCCAAATTAATTTAGTCTCTTTATATTGTTTCTAGGATTTTTTTTTGTTAACTTGGGATTGCGTTAATTATTTTTTATTGTCAATATTCGTGATAATTTGTCGTGTTAATTATTATTATTATTGTAAGTCATCACCAGTGGTCGGAATTAGGTAGAGTTATTCATGTACTTACACTGATTTCATACAGCGAAAGAATAAAGTGGATATGCCTCAAATCCCGAGATTAATTTTAAAGAGCAGAAAAAAACCCGTGATTTTTTAAATAAAAAGTTATTTACTTTTACACAATTTAAACTACTGCACGCACGACGTTGCCAAACTTACATCAATGACATCGGATGTCCAAAGTTGCAAAATACCAATACGCGCGATGTTGCCACGAAGGTCCACATTAATATCAACATTTCGATGCAAGTACATAAATAACTCTACCCAATTCCGACCTCTGGTCATCACCTGATATATATTTTATAGAAAATTGAATTTGTTTATTTTCAAAATGTAGGTCCAAATAATATATTTAAAAAAATGGCGGATTAACGACAGTTTTGTTAATAAAATAAATACATTTTTTGAATGATTTATAAATAACGAAAATCTTCAATATGTTTATTAATACTTATGAAATAAACTGTTTACAAATTTCTCAAACTATTTTACATTGTATCTATTTAAAAGTGATATATAATTTCAAAAATATTTTTTCCTTATTTATTTTGTTGTAATACATATTTATAGTTTAAACAATTTGTGATCCTCAAATGGTACTTGAATAAGCAACACAGTTTGGCAATTTGTATTAAAACATCAGAAATTCATAGAAGAAAAATAAGGATAGAAAATAGATTTCTCGACAGTCTATCCCTAATCGAATGATGTTGATAAATATACACATTTTGAATGTAAGAGGTATCGGATTTTTTTTGAATATAGACATTGCTAATACATGGTGTTCGATCCAAATATTTGCCGGTCCTGGAAAAAATGATAGTGGCCGTCCTTCCAGTTAAAAAAAACATTCCCTTAATTTGGCATATGGCAAAAAGGCTTCGGCTGGACCCTGTCAATACACAATTTTACAAAGAGAACTAATAATTAATTATATGTACACAACTAGACAAGCTGCGTGGGATTGAATAGCTTACTTAATTATACTAATATTATAAACAGGAAAGTATTGATTGTTTGCATCGAGTAGGCTCCAAGACTACTGGACTTTTTTAAAAATTAATTCGCCTAATGGAAGCTACATAATACGCTGTTGACGTAAGCTATGATTTACGCGGGAATTTGGCTAGCTATAATTGGCTGTTTTTAAAAACAATATTAAACCACTATCACCTTCGGATTTCTCAAAAAACTCGAGAAAAAGATAAATGAAACACGTATTGTTATTCAGTAATTTAATGTGTCCGAGAAAAATAAATTAGTTTCGATTTCATCCATAGGTTAGGCTTGTTCCGACGATGATAATGTAGTTATTATCCTACGCTAAGTTGTTTAATATCTACTATGATATAATGAGCCACATACACGATGAAATTTACCGTCAAGTCCACAGAGCGAATGGAAGGGCGTGATGGTCTATGTGTCCCTTGACGGGGCAGTTTACTGTTATATTAACGCACAGCTAAAACTACCGGACGTATTAAGCTGAAATTATGTACACTAATAGTTATTTTTACGTGGACGGTCGTTACGAAAGTATTTACAAAAATTCAACAGTTTAAAAAGAAGGCTAAAGTAAATAATAGTCTGAAAATTTACGCGGGCGAAAAGCTAGTACTTATATAGTCTGTTTTTTGTGCAGGCGACCTCTTAACTCTCTAGCCTTGAGTCTGTAGATATACTTTTTTTATTATTTATATATTTAATCAAACATTTAGGTTTATTTTTTTCGAAATAGCTTTTTGTCTAAATTCGATATTTTGTAAATAATAAAACAAGAAATTTAATATATATCCATTGATTTATTCAATAAGACGTTCTTACAGCTATGGCTAGAGTTATAGCGACATCGTTAGGCGGTAGAGTAGAGGAAAAGTTCATAACTTTTCCTCTACTTTCGAAAGATTTTGAAAATATTACAGACGCGTCATCTGGATCTGATCTAAACAGCTTGTCTAGTATAATAAGGTGCATATACAGAAAGTTCTTTAGTAACTAATTAATCGGAGTGAATATAAAAAAAACTGTTGATGACTTTAAACGTGTAAATATAATGTTTGTTCTGTAAGTATTATATATTTCCTGTAAATAATGTACTGTGAAAGACTTATCGACTTTACTATTATTATTTTTTATGTTAAAATCAGTTCTACTTATTAATTGAATGGATTTATTATTATTATTATTTTAAATTAAATTCTGATATAAAATTGTATCAAAGTTATAGAAATTAAATCAAAATAATATACATTCAGAAATTTATGAGTTGTTTTTCTCCCAAAATTTTGTTCGCAAGATCGATTTATGATTATGAAGATGTTTTCATTCACAATGCTATACAGGGAAATAGTCTTAATGAAAAATACTTAAAATATCCATCAGCCCCAGGGACTCTGAGATGGGACTCGAACCCACGACCTTTCGCTACAGAAAACAAAACGAAGAACAACAACAACGGTTTTCCGGTTTCGATTAAGATATTTGTTGTAATTATTATCAATAATATAATTATTAGTTAATTATAATCAAATATAATTCATAGAACAAATTTGCATCTTAATTGAAACCGGATAACCGGATTGCAAAAGGTCGTGGGTTCAAATTCCATCTCATTATCGGCGTACCTGGGTAATAATAATAAGTAATAATTACAATCAAAAATATATTGATTGTATCATTGATCTTAATCGAAAGTTTAAAATATTTGTTAAATACATTTTTGTTTGGGTAGATTGCATGAAGATATGCTCTCTAGTAGCGAAAAGTAACAAGTGCCTAAAAATTGTGTCAATCCTGTCAGGTCCTGAGTAGATCAGTGGTCAGAGCAGTAATCGTGTCATGTGCTTAGAGCAGTCGCCCGGATTGTGAAACGAGTTCTTGAGTTGTGGGCTTGAGTTCTTTTTAAACCTTTTTTATTCAGAAGATGTTTTAAGTTGGATGGATATCAATCTACATAAACGATATGTACAATAGACATATATAGTTAATGTATCGGGTTTAACAGAGGGCTACAGGTTTGGCTAAGTTGACCTCATTTATTTTGTTCTCTATTTTTAAGCCAAAACTGTTATTTTATGACACACGCCTATATTCGCTAGAGCAGTTTACACTACGATTAAGATGGCACCAAGAAGCTTATCTTCTTTTTTAGGGTTCCGCAGTCAATAATAAACCTTTCGTCCGTCCGTCCGGTCGCGGTTCAATTTAAAGACGATTGGTAGCTATTACAACACAAAGTTGTAATTTAGTATGAGTAATACGCGTTAATTAAGAGTAGCTCGGTGGCGTAGTGAATAAGCGCCGCGGCCCGCTATCGTTATCGTTAAGCAACTTTCGCAAGGGTCGGTCAAGGGATGGGTGACCAAAAAAATATCTCGATCTACTCCGTGCTTCGGAAGGCACGTTAAGCCGTTGGTCTCGACTGCATTTGCAGTCGTTAATACCCTCCAATCCGCATTGGGCCAGCGTGGAGGGTCATGGCCCATCATCCTTAGCCATCCATAAGGAAGGCCTGAGCCCCTGCAGTGGGGAAGTAAAAGGATTGATGTTGATGATGATGATGAATACGTGATAATCACGCCGAGGAAACGGCAAAATAAAATTATATAAAAAAAAAAAGGTACTTCTCCTGCATGTAAAGTGGGCATGGTAATTCTTTTTCGTCATCTCCAGTGTGTGGTATTGTCATCTTCATCATCAGCCGTAAGACACCCACTGCTGAGCATAGGCCTCCCCCATAGATTTTCACGACGATCGGTCCTGTGCAACCCGCATCCAACGGCTTCCCGCAACCTTTATAAGATTGTCGGTCCACCTGGTGGCGGGCCTACCCACTAAACGCCGTCCGGTACGTGGTCGCCATTCCAGAACTCTTCTGCCCCAACGGCCATCAGTTCTTCTCGCTATGTGTCCCGCCCACTGCCACTTCAGCTGAGCAATTCTTTGAGCAATGTCAGTAACGTTAGTTCTCCTACGGATTTCCTGATTGTGAATTCGATCACGTAGAGAGATACCAAGTATTGCTCTCTCCATTGACCGCTGGGTGACCTTGAGCCTTCTTATGAAACCCATAGTGAACGACCACGTTTCGATTCTATAAGTCATCACTGGCAACACACACTGATTAAAGACCTTGGTCTTGAGACACTGTGGTAATGTGGACGCGAAGATTTTTTGTAGCTTCCCGAACGCTGCCCATCCGAGCTGAATTCGACGACAGATCTCTTTCTCGAAGTTGGACTTGCCTAGTTGGACTGTCTTTCCTAGGTAGACATAACGGTCGACAACTTCAAGTGTAGTATTCCCAATTTTAACTGGACGTTTGACATGATTTTCGTCTTATCCATGTTCATCTTAAGACCCACTCTTTGAGATGCACTACTGAGATCTTAAAGTATATGTGGTATTGGATAGGTGTTAAAAATATTGGGGGTGTGGAAAGACCGTATTTTATTAAGATTAAAAGTGTCCATTTTATTTAGAATCGAGTTTCACCACTCTACCAACTGTTTTTGTTACAAATTCAAACATCACGGCGTAGTAAGAACCTATATATAAGTATAACGAAGTTAGAAGGAAATAATATTTACTTTTAAACTTGAAAGAAAACCGGAATGGTTGTCATGGAGAAATCAAGAACGTACCGTAGCGACATCTAGTTTGATTTCGGGAACTAATGTTTTTATTTTAAATACTTTCTCATTGTTTTTTCGAAAATTTCGAACAACTCCATAGGAAACAACAAATGTGATTTTTTGCGCATAACGGTACGGAAACCTTCCTGCACTGAGTCCAGCCGAGTCGCATTTGGCCGGCTTTTCGATATAGTCTACCACTTATAACTAGGTAAAGTTTATTTGTAGGAGGTAATCTTCAGAAATACTTATTCGATCATAAAAATTCATCCATCTACGAGAAGCTACATCATACACACATGGGTGGCAATCTGTAATTTACGTAAGAGAAGTCGCGAGACTAGCTAAAATTATCTACCTATATGCTAGATCAGCACTGATGATCATGACGTGATGATGAATATAGCTGCAGAAACGCCATAACTGTTGTAGATTTTTTCCACTCATTTTTAGCAAGTGTTCATTTAACCCAACAACAAACAACTTGTTATTATGCTACACTTTTTTCACGTAGGTACTAAAGTACAGGCTGAAACATCATGGGTCTCTAGTGACTGCTTGTCTCAACTCCGCTGCGAGTCGATTGCGAATTATGGTTTTCAACATTTAGCTATCTTAGAAATTTTGCAATTAAGCTAAACTATAAAGAAAACTACATCTAATTAAAAACAGACAAATAGGATATATATAGGTAAGTAAAAACATTTGCAATATATGTAACAGTTTAATTTAAAAAAAAACTGGAAAACGCAAATAATTACGTTTGTTCTATGGAAGCTCCCCTTAAATATATTTATTTTCTTCTGTTCAGTATTTGTTGTTATAGCGGTAACGCAAATCATCTGGAAATT